TATATAATTAATACAAAATTCTACTCCTAGCACAGAAGAAGAAAACCTGTAGGACTCCTATTTCTGCCCCTAGAACAAGACTATATTATACACAGCAGAAATTTATAAACTCTCTAAAGAAGAAGAAGTAGAGCAATACAAACTGTAAATAATATAAAGACTAGGAGTCAACATACTCACTGTATATATAGACGCCTCTTCTATTAAGAAAGGCACATGAATAGGAATAGGAGTTACTGCTCTAGACAATAAACAGCAGGCTAAAGAAATCTACTCTACTAAACACAATATTAGCAAAGGCTAGATTGTATACAATAAAGAGCTAGAAGGCATAACAAGAGCCTTAAAGTTTACAGCTTCTATAGCTACAGCAACACAAGAGATCTAAGTCTTTGCAGATAACTAGGCAGCTATTCTAAGGCTAAAAACTCCTTCTAATAATCCTAGACAAGCTTAGCAAATCTGCTGCATAAACGCAGTAAAGGCAATTCACAGCAAAGGTGTAACAATTAGCCTACACTAGACCCTAGAATACCTAGATATTACTAGAAACAAAAAAGCAGACTCCTTAGCAAAACAAGCTATAGAATAGCAACTAGTATCTAATACTACAAGCCTTGCAATAACAGGTATTAGGATTAAAGCTATTGCAAGACAAGAGTAGCAACACAAACTCTAGGCCTACTCTACAAAAGCAAAGCTTAGGAATCCTAGCACCTACACAGCAAGATTCTTGCTAAAACTAACAAGCAAGATAACACTGCTAAAAAACACTAGAAGAGAAATTATAAGTGTATACTACTAGCTTAAACTTAGACATAGATATAACAAAGTATACCTATATAATATACAAAAAACAGAAAGCTCTAAATACAGCTGCAGATATACACAAACACCTTAACACCTACTGCTTAGTTATAGAAACTACAGAGAAGCAAGAAAAAAAATAAAGAGCAGCCTACAGGAGACAAGACTAACAATGCCTCTTCTCCTAGACACAAGTAGGGGAATCTAAGCTACTCTAGCTTTTATTTAAGAAACTAAAGTAGGCACACGCAAGTAGTACCTACAGTAAACAACAGACAGCTAATTTCCTTTGTTTATAACTAGAGCACAGGCTCTTACTATATATCTACAAACCTATATATACTATTCCCTTACACAGAAAAAACTTGTAAATTACTAGAGTAGCCTCACTGCTCTTGTCCTATATAGTCTTAGACTCACACAGGACGTTAAACTAATCAATCAATCAATCAATTAATCAAGCAACTAGTATCTTATACTACAAGCCTTGTAATAACAGGTAACGTACCTGACGGGTGAGTCGCCCATATGGGTGAGTCGCCCACTCTGCCAAGACCCCACCAAAACTCTACTCTATTTTGGCCCGCAACACCCCATTATGGGCCTGCAAATGGTAATTTAGTGTGTTACAGTATAGAAGAGCTATCTATGATCTCTTTTAACATGTGCGCGAGTTGTGCCCTATCTCCTAGCACTGTTTATAGTGTCTTACAGTCTATTAACCTTTATTAGTGTGCACTGTCTTCTTTACATATTTACTATTACTACACGCTGCAAACTCCTCTAGAGTAGTTAACTATACCCCCTCTTTAACTATTAGAGTCCCCTCCTGCTATAAACACTTTCTTTTATGTAATTTACGTTGTGTTGCAGCCTTGTTAGCATCTTAAAGCTTAGAAACCTGCTTGCGCACTAACACTAGCAAATGCGCCATCATCTTAGCGCCTTTTGAGAGCTTTTCCAGCGCATTTACAATAGAGGAAGGCGAGCTATCTGTATGCTTTTAAATCTTCTCTTAAACTAGCTTTGATTGAGACCTAAATTCTAGCGTGTTCTGGGGTGTACAGGACTGCTAGGGCTCATTAGAGACAGGAAGTGGTGATAGGGTGCGCAGTTGAACGTCAAGGCCTATTATAACCTATTCTAGGTTAAATAGAACTAATCCAGCGCCTCTGAACCCTCCCTAGATATTACTTAGGGTTATTGCTGCATCATACGCACGTTTAAAGCATGGCAGGAACTTAAGTTTTAAGATGTAGGTGATCTAGTTACGCATAAGATCTTTAGCTTAGCGCCTATATGCCTTCTTTAACAGCGCAAAACAACCCACATTAAGTGGCTGTAGGAGGTGTGATGAGTGTGGAGGTATACAGAGTGTGATAATCTTCCTCTCCTTGCAGTATTATTAGAATTAGAGGGAGTTATAGCTCTTATGGCCATTAATAATTAGCAGTTAGTACCCTCCTACAGCACGCCTCCCTGTATAGGCTTTAAAGTGCTGTAGCCACTAGAATCTAAGCTTATTTGTAGTCTAGCCGTTCTTAGAGACTGCAATAACCTAGTTATAGGGTATTGTATCCTCTTTGTACTAGGCAGAGAGGTAGTTGCGGCCTTGAAAGATAATAAAGGGTGGAATGGCCTATCCTGTACTATTTACGCCCTGGATAGCTGTTGTCCACTCCTAATTGTCCTGCTAGACTGCCTTTGGCCGCCCTCAACGCTCTAAGCCTGTAACAACTGCTCCTGTCAATATCTAGCCTATTATGAACCTAGTCTTATTAAAGTTGTACATGTCTTGGTCCTAGATGCTATACTTAGCTTTGGTATTCTCTACAAGGCAGAACCAGCCTTTTATAATCTCTAGATCCTCACAGAGGGCTTGCTTGTAGTTGTACTTGCAATTAAACCTTACTTAGAGCTTAGGGCGGCGCTTAACAAACGTGTTAGGCTATTTTATGCTAACATGGCCTAGATTATGCTCTTTGCGCAAAGAATTGGCCATATCAGCCACTGCAGCTAGGCTGGCGGAATGGGTATACTCCAACGTCCTTTGTGGGTACCCCCCAAAACTTTGTCAATAATACATGGATTCTAGCGAAATAGGGCTTAAAAGAAAGAGAGAAACTACCTCTACATTTCTGTAGTAGAGGGTTTTGTTATAACTATTAAACTGCATAAGCTAGAGGCTAGAAAAGGTTAAAAAAGGGGGGGTACCTAGCAAGCATACCCATTAATAGGTATACTTTGCTAGGTAGTGTTAATAACTTAGCTAATACTAGGCGGAATAAGCTAATTCTTTTTTTATTAGAAGGCGCAATACTAGGCGCTTCTATCGAATAATAGATTATGTAAGCGTATCTCTGCTAGTTAAGAAGCTATAAGCCAAAACGTAAAAAAGCATACCCTACCCATCCGCCAGCCTAACTGCAGCTAGCTGTGGTGCAAACCCTCTCGCGTCTAGGTTAAGTATATGCTAAACAATCACCTCCTCCTTATTCTTGTCTAGGTTCCTTAATTTAGGCATACAATCTGCTTGTGCAGGTTGTCTAGCGTGTTAATCGCGTAGTGTTCTGTATAGCGCGTTATAGAGGGCTGCAGCGCGTTGTAGGGAGAGTGTCGCGTCTTTTTTAATAGCCTGAAGCGCAAGCTGTATTCTAGCTTCCTTTAAAGGTCCTGATTCGCGTTGTTGTTGTGGCATTGTGTGAGAGGGTTGAGTTTTGGTGGGGTCTTGGCAGAGTGGGCGACTCACCCATATGGGCGACTCACCCGTCAAGTACGTTATTAGGATTAAAGCTGTTGTAAGACAAGAGTAGCAACACAAACTTTAGGCCTACTCTACAAAAGTAAAGCTTAGAAATCCTAGCACCTATACAGCAAGATTCTTGCTTAAACTAACAAGCAAAATAATGCTGCTAAAAAACACTAGAAGAGAAATTATAAGCGCCTACTACTAGCTAAAACTTAGATATAGATATAATAAAGTATACCTACATAATATATAAAAAACAGAAAGCTCTAAATACTGCTATAGATATACAAAAACACCTTAACACCTACTACTTAGCTGTAGAAACTATAGAGAAGCAAGAAAGAAAATAAAAAGCAGCCTATAGGAGACAAGACTAATAATGCCTCTTCTCTTAGACATAAATAGGGGAATCTAAGCTACACTATCTTTTATTTAAGAGAGTAGAGTAGGCACAAGCAAGTAGTACCTATAGCAGATAATAGACAACTAATTTCCTTTATTTATAACTAGAGCACAGGCTCTCACTATATGTCTAAGAATCTATATATACTATTCCCTTACACAGAAAAACTTATAAATTACTAGAGCAGCCTAACTGCTCTTGTCCTATATAGTCTTAGACTCACACAGGACGTTAAACTAATCAATCAATCAATCAATCAATCAACGCACAAGCGGAGGCTGCTAAAACTCCACACTAGAGAGTGTTGGTGCTCAAGCTCCACACTAGAGACTGTCAACACTTAAGCTCCACACTGGAGAGTATTGGCATACAGACTCCGCGCTAGAGAATAAAACCCACTGAAGTCTCTGAGCCAGAGCCTGCATCAATTCCATCTGAATTTTACTTGCACTTAGCCCTCAGCAGCCAGCTCCTTTACAGAGTATTGGTGTATATATTCTGCTTCTTCAGCACCGTAGATAGAACAAGGAACTTGATCACTTTCTTCACACTTGATCAACAATTAGAGACTGCTCAGCTTCCACACTAACTTACTAGAATCTAAGCTTATTTGTGGTCTAGCTGTTCTTGGAGACTGCAATAACCTAGTCCTAGGGTATTGTATCCTCCCTGTGCTAGGCAGACAGGTGGTTACAGCCCTTGAAGATAATAAAGGGTGGAATAGCCAACCCTGTCCACTCCTCTCATATCTGCCCGACTGGAACTGCAGGCACCACGCCAGCCCCGACGCTCGCAGGCTGCTGGTGATTCTCTACAGCTAGAAGGCACGGACAAGTGACGTGGTGCCTGGTGCGGTACTGACAAGAGTCATGGTATTCGGGTTTCTCCATCGTGGTGCCGGTGATTTGGATGGTTCGCGTTTGATCCTGTGGTCATTGACTTCCAACACAGCTTTCACTACCACCATCTCGCCCCAAATATCTTGGGCGCAACATGGTCCTGCTTCTCCTTCGCGGCCAGATCAATGCTCCGATGCCCCTTGACATCCACTGTGAGCTCGGCATACTCATACGTCGCCATGCTCGGCTTCTTGATCAGATGGACGTGCACAACACCCTGCTTCCCATTGCCCTCGACGAAGAAGCGAAACTTCAAGTGGTCTGTGCCCCACTTGTCCGTCTCTTCTGTGCTGCTGATGAAGCGGTTCTTCGCATAGCGACTCCACGAGCCCTCGCCAAATGCAGCAATCTGGGAGCCTTCGCCGAGCAGCTTCTGGCACCGAGGGTCTTGCCGTATCTTCGTAGTGGCTTCGTTGAAGTAGGCGGTTTTGGAGTTGGGGCTGAAGACGTCGCTGAAGAGGAAGTATGCTACGCCGCCCTGGACTGGTCAGCTGGGTGCGCTTGGAGAGACTCAAGAGCTCATACTGTCGCTATGACGCCAACCGCTACAATCAGTAGGTTGAATGATTGCTGCGTTGTGCGCACGACCTTTTCGCCTGGCGATAGTTCAGTCCACCGCACTCGGCCCGTGTCGCCCGTGAGCGTGATGGACTTCCGTGCGGGCTCTGGGAATGGGGTGCCCGGGAAGGTGGGCTCCTTGGCGTGTGCATTGCGAGTGGTGGAGAAGGCAGCGCGGGCGCGTCGTGTGGATGATGGCTGCATGCGCGGGAGCAGCAGCGACGACCGGAGGACCGAGATGGCCTCGGCGGGCCTGTATAGGGCTGTCATTGCAATGCTGCGATGTATATGTATGATTCTGTGTGACGGCGCGGAGGTGCAGCTTCTATGCGGGCGGCGACGCAGCGATGCGGCAATGCGGCGATGCACGCGGCGAGACCGAGGCGAACGCCGACCGGTTCGCGGACTTTGGGTGAACGACCAGCGCATCCATGGCCCGCGAGTGCTAGCGATTCAACACCCGTGCTGCGCTTCGCCTTCTGTCCCTCACATCTCTCTCTCCCTGGCCGCACCATACCTGGCGACCGCCGACCAGCATGGCGTCCAACAAGAAGAGCAGCCTCACCGGCTATCTCCCCGACATTCTGATGGCGGCAGCAGCAGTACAGGCGCACCTTCCCCCGCGCGTCTCTGCCCGTACTGACCACCGCTCCAGCCGCTGATAGCGTACTTTGTCATCCGCAATCTCCTGGCGCGCCTCGACCCCGACGCCCAGCAGAAAGAAGAAGCCCGCGCCAAATCGGCCGCCGCGACGCGGAAGCTTGACGCCATCCTCAGCAGTAAGCGGCGCAACAGCCATGGTGACTCGGACAGCGACGACGAGGCGGACGCGCGGGGTCGGCGGCCGCGCATGCAGGAGCTGGTGCTGAACAGCTACGAGCAGACCATCGCCATGGAGGTCGTTGCGCCCGAGGAGATACCCGTCACGTTTGACGACATCGGCGGGCTGGATGCAATCATCGAAGAGCTGAAGGAGTCGGTCATCTACCCGCTCACCATGCCGCACCTCTACTCGCACTCGTCGTCGCTGCTGAGTGCGCCCAGCGGTGTGCTGCTGTACGGGCCGCCCGGGTGCGGCAAGACGATGCTGGCCAAGGCTCTCGCACACGAGTCGGGCGCCTGCTTCATCAACCTGCACATCTCGACGCTCACGGAAAAGTGGTACGGCGACAGCAACAAGCTGGTCAACGCCGTCTTCAGCCTGGCACGCAAGCTGCAGCCGAGCATCGTCTTCATCGACGAGATCGATGCAGTGCTGGGCCAGCGGAGGAGCGGCGAGCACGAGGCGAGCGGCATGGTCAAGGCCGAGTAAGTCACACATGGCCTGCTGCTGCAATCCGCACGCTGACGACGAGGTGTAGATTCATGACTCACTGGGACGGTCTCGCGTCTTCCACAGCCGCCGGCAGCAACACACCGCAGCGGATATGCATCCTCGGCGCCACGAACCGGATCCAAGACATCGACGAAGCCATTCTGCGCCGCATGCCCAAGAAGTTTCCCGTCGCCCTCCCCAACGCCTCGCAGCGCAAGAACATCTTCTCCCTCATCCTCCGCGGCACCAAAATTGACGCCAAGAACTTTGACATTGACTATCTCGTGCGCATCTCCGCCGGCATGTCCGGTTCGGACATCAAGGAAGCCTGTCGTGACGCTGCCATGGGGCCCGTCAGGGAATACATCAGGCGCAAGAAGGCAGACGGCTCGTTGCGGAGCAGCAGAGGCGTGCGGGACGAGGATGTGCGCGGCCTCCAAACAGACGATTTCTTTGGGAGAGGAAAGGGAACGAAGGAGATGCAGGCCCTCGACGAGACTGCCGAGGAAATGAATGCTCGAAGCAGGAGGATACACACCACTTCTGAGTCGTCAGAGGAAGCCAGCACCGACGATAGCACGAGCGGCGACGAGAAGACGCGGCAGTATGATGACCCTGAGCCTTCTGCCATTCGATAGTCACCCTCATCTGTAGCGTTTGTTTCTAGGTACATATTGGGCGGCGCACGAGGCATCATCACTACATAGTTGGCGTTTAGAAGAGCTGGAACCTAGCCCTAGATTGTTCTGTTGTACGAATAGACTACACACATGACCTCCTTCAATACTTCGACCTTCTGTCACTCGAGGCAGCGTCTCGTCACTCGTTCGCACTGCTAGGGTTGTCGTCAATAGTGCAACCGCCCAACCGCGTGAGCACCAGCCACATCCGGCAAGCACGCGCGAATGACGTCCAGCTGAGACGCCTCAACCATGGAAGTGTGCTCACCTGTTCTTTCCCAACCGGCCCGTCGCACATGGCACTAATGCTTCCCCTCTTTGGCCAGCAGTTGATTCGATGACCCTAGACATCTGCGCATGAAGTGTTTGATCAAAACTTAGTCCTGCCCCAGGCATTGAAGCTTGCCCTCGACGGCATGTTGGCAACCACAGCGTCCTACGCCCGGGAGGGCTCAGACTCGAGCAAAGTCCACGCAGAGCACGAGACGTATTCAGGCATACCGACTATCGTCGAGCCACATGCAGACGCAGACGCAGATGCAGACTCAGACACAGATGCAGAGGCAGAAGAACGCGGTCGTCTTAAGAGGCGCCGAATGTCTTCACACTCTCCACCCCGAGCAGCTTCGCCCTCTCGAGGCCACGACCGCGACAGCGGCTCTCGGCACCGACACCACCACCGCAACCACCACCGCGACTCGGAATCCGCGAGCATGACACCACCGCCAGCCGCGCAGAAGAAGCAAAGGCGGCGCAGCGACGCAGAACCGGACCACACGTTTCGTGGTCGGGCACGAAATCGCAGCGGCAGCAGGGAACGAACAGGCAGTCCTATCTTCGAGGACGACGATGACGATATGAGTGAGGCGGCGAATGCGAGCGAATCAGAGGTGAGAGAGCTGAGGAAGAGGGCCCAGCCACCCAGTCGGCCACGGGAGACTGAAGAGGAAGAGGGCGAGCTACGGAGACAGAAGAGCTATCCCAATCTCTACCGGAAGGACTCGAAGAGTAATCTGGAAACAGAGAAGATTGGGACTAAGCGTCCGCATCCGCTCAGACAGCAGCTCTCAGGATGAATGCCGCAAAGACAAAAGAAAAAGTGTATCAAAACATGCTTCAACTATCACAGCATGTCTGGCGTCCAGACTTATACTCGAGAAATAGTAACACGCGGCCAGCGTGAGCATAAATAATTGAGAACATCAGTCGACTTGAATTCTACTTCCTTTCTCGTTCCGTGCATCTCGTTCCGTGCATCTTTCCATGTATTGAAGTTGCTTGTTACCCGTCTGGAGCACGCGACCGCTGTCAGATCCTGAACAGCTTCCACCCAACAAAGCGAGCAGCAATCACACGTCTATTGACCTGCTGTCATCACACGCACTACGCTACCATCATGGAGCGGGAGCACCAGAACTGCTCTCTGCCTCGCGCCGACGCTTCCGTGCTGCTCACATCGGCACCCGTCTGGAAACTTCCACGCCGCCCGAGGCTCTTAAACGGCGCCCCGCATTGTGCCCAGTTGCCAATCGGAGTGCCGCTTCTTCCGCGCTCAGAACAGACCCTCTGCCATTGCAATTGTCAGCTTTCCCACAGCAAGTCTACCTTGCTTTCTCGCAGCCATGCCACCTGGTAATGAGTATGCTGCCGAGCAGCTCAAGGCGCAAGGGAATACTTGCTTCAAGAACGGCGACTATGAAGGCGCCGAGACGTATTACTCGCAGGCCATCCAGAAGAACCCGAGCAACCCCTTGCTCTTCACCAACCGTGCCATGGCGAGAAATAAGCTCGAGAAGTGGGAGGGCGTGATAGACGACTGCATACGGAGTATTGAGCAGCTTCCAGAAAACATGAAAGCCTTCCATCTGCTGTGTACATTCATCATCACCCATGACAGCGAGATAAGACATGGCTGACACGACCCCCAGCGCAAGCCCAACTCGCGGTCAATCATCCCAACGAAGCCCTCTCCAGCGCCCTGAAAGCTTACGAGTACTGCACAAAGTCCACGCAGCAGACCACCTTTTCCAACGCCGCCCTGATATCCCAGCACGTTCTGAAGTGCAAGAAGCGCAAGTGGGAGATCCGCGAACGCGAACGCATACGGCGGCGAGGCAACCTCCTTTCCGACCTTGAGGAGATGCTCGAGCGTGACCACAAGAACGAGCTCGACCAAGTCGACGCACGCATGGAGGCTGGCGAAATAAGCCGAACAGAGGGCCGCGAAGAGAAGGAAGACCGCCGGCAAGAGTTCGAGAAGAAGCGTGACGACTTGCGTACATCATTTGCGATTTCAGACCCCGAGAGTCAGCAGAAGCGCGAGGTGCCAGACTACCTAGTGGATGGTATCACGTTTGAGATTATGCACGATCCTGTGGTCACGAACAATGGGCGCAGTTATGAGAGGGCGACGCTCATCGAACATCTAAAGCGCAGTCCGACGGACCCCTTGACGCGAGAGCCGCTGAAGATCAGTGAGCTCAGACCGAATCTGGCGCTGAAGGAGGCGTGTCAGGAGTTCATGGAGACGAACAGTGGCTGGATCTATGATTGGTAAGGCAAGCCGTCTTTTAGGCACGCAGTCATTGAGCGAGGTAGGTGTGAGATAGAGGATGGTGATTTGGCTTCGTGGACGCTTGCTAACAGCTGTACAGTGTAGAAGGCGAAGTAGATTCGGACAGCCGTTGGGCACACCTTTCGCACATGTAAAGCGGCACGGCACGGTGATTTGCGTTCATCGGAGTTGGTTCTTTGCGTTTTAGTCCCAATCGCATCCTGAGCGTCGTCAAGCATTCGATTTTCTGACTATCAGTTTAGTACCCTTGCAATTTCCATTGCTCGGACCTCGGTCTTTTTGACCAAAAGTCGTGGTTTTCCGCTGTTCGGTCCTCTGTAGCTACTTCCTCCGGCTCGCTTGCCAACGTTCAATATGCAGCCTACCGCACATTAGCGGTTGGCCCCCTCCATTCCAGGACCTGCTCTCATCAACCAATGTGTCAAGGCGGACCTATTCACTGTGGACACGCTGCCAAAGGAAGCGTTGTAATCGTACTGACTTCTTACACAGCCAGGTGCTTCCCCCGACTGCTCCACAGGCACAATCCTTGTTCAGTATCGCCATCCTGATTAGTGTCGTGCAGCTTCACTCGACTTCGGAATCGACGGAGTTTGATGATATCTGAGCTCATAGGCCCTATGTTAGGGCTTCATGATCGAGCAGCTAGCTCATCGAGCACACTCACCAAGGATTCTCGACTGACCTAGTCCCGAAGGAAAATCATTATGTACTTCGCAATTCCATTGACTCCCTGAACCTATCGGCAAATGCTAGTTGGACCTTTCGCAGTCTGCTCGCCGCTCAACTCTGTAGCTACAAACACTACGACAACTGGACCGCAAACTTGCGACACGAAGCTGACTACAGCCTAGAACAAACATTATCCCAGTATGCTCCGACACTACCGCACTCTGAGGTGGAAATCTACATTATTTCTAGCGATGCAAATCGGGACGGAGATTTTGCAAACGTGCAGGCATTGGATCGAGCTATCGACTGATGATCCAGGTGGGTTTGAAAATTATTCAAGGACAGGCCGACAACTAAGGCGATGGTGTTCTTGACTGTGCGGACATTCATGTCAAGTTGATGTGCTCCAGAGGTATGGCGAAGGACGAGATCCAACGTGCGATTCCAAATGAATAATGCCGATGTTCATGTTTCTCTTCAGCTGGTCCCATGCATGTTGGGCACTTCTGAAGCGGATGATCCATAATGAAGGACGATCCGAAGTCTAATGCGAACTTCGAAATCACTGCTCTCTATATCAAAGCATATGCTCCCAAGGAATATACCTCGCTGCCAGTCCTTGTTCCAGAGCAAAAGAGTGCCGCGTCCGGCGCTTCGCAATACATTCGAGGACAAGCTCTCAAGCTCACTGATACGGCCGAAGCCGAAGAGTCCAGCATCTATATGAGGGCTGGCATAATTCGCTTTCAGCTTGGGCAGGCATTTCGACTCACGGGCTGAGAAAAGACATTGGAGCTGATCTCAAGACACTCGAATTCAGTGCTTCATAATCGAACTTGGCCAAGACGCGGCTGAGCAACCGCAATGACAACACCTCTCTTGCTGCTCATCTTAACACCTTTCTGTGAGCCAAGATGGCCACACTGGGTCCGAAAGATCTCGCCACCCGCAATCCTAGCCAACTTGAGGACGATTGTTTCGGGGAAACCACTACTACCGATCCTCCAGCAATTCAACGGCAGACTGATTTCGTTGCGCGAACCACCGAGCCTATGGTACACATCTTTGGACGGCACGGAAAAAAAAAGGCCTTGATGAGACTTTCTAAAGCCACCTTCAGGTCTCATCGTGACTAGATTTTTCTGGATGAAGACGTCGTATGAGCTCTTGAAGCAGTCTGGCGAAGGCGCTAGGAGGCCCCACTTATTGTGTTCGAAGTGGTGAGCGTGAGGCTGGTTCCGATAGCATCTCAGTATCGAGTCTTTTGGCCGTTCCCAAGCAAACAGAGATTCGTCGAAACGACCAAACTCTTCAATGATAGCCTCTTGAAGCCTGACAAAGGCCTTTATACCTTCGCCATATGTCGGCTCAAGGTAAACATCGAATAGCCCAATGAGACTGTACGCAATATCCTCTACCCTCTGCGTGACACGCCCAGCCATCCAACTCATTTTCGTCGCGCAACTCGCCTCGTTCAAGTTCTGCCGTCCGTTGAGATACTCGGGACTGATCCCCGCCACTTTTCCGACAACCATCGCGAGCTCATTCCTCGTCCCCATGAACTTCCATCGCTTATCATAAAACTGCATGTTCTGTGGCGCCAACAGTTCTTGCAGTGTCCATCCCCTCTCGAACCACTCACTGGGACGTCCTCTTCTATCGGGTCGATCGCTCGTAAACATCTTGTCGCTCGCACTCTCAAAGGTCACATCGTTCAAGTACGTGTAGCATACCGCCGCACTGCGATACCATCTGAACATCATGTTCAACGCGTACCGCAAGTCTTCACTCTTGTCCTTTTCGATACAGCAGGTGTCGATCCATATGTAGTCAAAGCCTTGCTGATGTGCTAGGGCGCAAGCGCCGCAGATTTTGGTTGCGCTGGCGCGGAGGTTGGGTGAGATATCTGTTGACGATTTGAGCAGCGCAGGCCGGAGGGTAGCGAGGTCATCGAGCATGATTTCGTAAGCCTCCCAGCGGTGCGAGAGGATCGCATATGGTAGTGTGGAGCGGGAGCGTGGAATTTGAACTATCTCAAATGTGTTTGTTTTGAGGAGATTCATGACGGAGATTTGACAATTGTCGCGGTATATATGTAATAGATCACAGAGTAGAAGATGTCTTCAGCTTTGACAATAATGATTGGCAATATCGCTACCAGACACTCGTGGTGACCTTTAAATGGTGGTTTATTACTTCTGTCGGATTGAAGAGGCATTCAGTCGTGCTTTTGGAGCGGTGAGGCACTCGTTGAGCCGCTCGAAAACTGGAGCTGTCACTACGCGCGCGGGTATGGTACCATATGCGCGCTTAGGAAATGCTCCAGCCGCCATTCCTGATAACGTAGGTGTATGAAGGAGCTCGTTTTTAGTCATGCACCGCACTGACCACCCCAACTAAAATGTGATCGCGCATCCCAATTTGGTGAGCTGCCTCACAAAATCAATGCATAACAACACAACCACATAACCAATTAAGCTGAAATTGATGAGGGTATTCAATTGTATACTGCTGCCGCTATTCTGAGATTTTCCGGTGTTGAGTCACCCGTGAAAGTCGTTGTTGCCGCCATGTTTTATGATACGTCTCACCACCTCAGGTATACTCATCACCCACTTATTTATCACCTCTATAGGTATCGCATCCCACTCCTCCTCCCACTGTCGCTTGCACTCTATCCCAGTGCAGCTTGGCGTGAAATCCTGAGTCACATGACGTCGAATCCATGGCCAGGCATGCTCGGATGCATTAACGTCGGGTGAGTGGCCGGGCCACCACATGCGCTCTATGCGCTCTACAGTACAGTAATCGCGGGCTATTCGTGATTTGTGAGCTGGAGCCCCATCCTGTAGTAGTACACAGCGTAATCCCTTCCTTTTGAGTGAATTGATCCATGGGGTAATGCTCTTGAGTGCACCCTCGCGATGCCTGTACCCATCAACACTCCCATTATCACGCCCCCCACGCTTATAGTCATGCTGAGAGGGTACATATTGCTTCTTTCTAGTGTTGTAACAGTGATTAACACGCTCTCTCGCATTACTGCAAGTGCCTTGCGCGCGCTGCCCTGGAGTGTGTTGTTGTTGTGCTTGCGCTGCGCATTCTCCTTCGCTAACGCCTCCTCTGCTGACTGTTTTTGTGCTGCTGTCTCTTTAAAATAGGTATAGCAAGGACCCTTATAGTTATAACGAAAGGCTCTGTAGAATTGTAGGCAACAAGCGCGGTGGTTGCGATCCTTTTTGACTCCTTCATCGTACTGCTTGCCATCCCTACACCATACCCTCTGCATGCCGCGCTCCTCACCAATGCGAGCTGGAGTCTTGTCAGTAAACACAACCTCAGTAAAATCGAATCCTTTACTATCTCCATACTCGTATTTATTAGGGTTGTGGGCAAGCGCCCACTCCAAACGCTCGCGCTTCTGCTCGTTGTTGAGAGGTGGCTTCCAGCCTGGTCGCTGGCGCGCGTAACCAGCATTGTACATGATATTTTCGTGAAGCGATACACTGAAATTTGGCAGGCCAGTGTTCACAAAGTCTCCATCCTTGATGGCCTGCCAGCTCTCCTTCTCCTGGCTCTCCTGCGACGCAATAGTGAGCTCCACAACGCGAGCGCGTTGCTCATCGTCAAGCAGTTGCGGCGCGCCTCTAGTAGACGCGAATTCGTAGCAGCAAGGGTTGATAATTGTAGTGTTTAGTTCAGTTGCCTGCTCGTTAACTCGCTGTACAGTTCTAGTAATCATGGACTTGCTGGCGACGCTGGGGGGGAAGAGGTTGGCGCAATTGTTGTGTGATAGACTGCCTGCGATGCACGCGCCCGCAATAAACGCGCGCTCAATCGCAGTTAACTCACAACGCGACGTCTTTTTTATAGTAGGAGCGCGCCCCTTCTTCTTCATTAGCTTTCTGCGCGTTGCCTTGTACATTGTTTGTAAAAATATATTAAGTTTTGGGAAAGTTATCGCGGTGCAAAGTATGGTGTTTTGGTGTTTACGCATTGATTTTGGTGGGGGTGGCCAGTGCGGTGCATGACTAAAAACGAGCTCCTTCGTAGGGCGAGTCGCCCACTTTTGCCAAGACCCTCCCCCATCAAACCCTATTATGGCCCAAAACACCACAAACTGTCCACAGCGTCGTTGGGAGGGTTCACCTCCTTCAGCGCGCACCAGCTTCTTTCCCCTCTTTCCATCACTACGCGCTCCAAACTCCTTTAGAGCAGTTAACCACTGGCCCTCTTCAACTGCAAGGCTTCCCTCAGCTTGAATACGCTTTCTTTTATGCAATTTGCGTTGTGTAGTGGCCTTAGGGGCTTAATTGAGCTATCTCTGCAAGGGCTAGATTGAGCGACATGGTGGCGTTGAGCAAAATGGGTGTGAAGTTTGACGCGTTCTTGTTGATGCGCGCATTTGATGAATCCGCGCATTTGGTGCACGGACACGGTACGCTATGAAGAGATACGCACAACGGTCGACAGAACTGCGTCTAGACTTCTAGAAGACGCGTGGTAGCTGATTTGTCATTGAGTGATGTAGTACATTGCAGATGAGTGGTAGAGTAGATCAGACGATGCAACTGTAGGGCTTTGTGGCAGAAGCGATTCTGAGTCAGCCTGCATACAAGTCCCCGAGTGTTCTGAAGTCGGAGCCGAGCCTTGCCGAAGTTCGTGCTGTCAGCCTGCTGGACATTGGACAATGTTGCCCTGGTGTAGATGGTGACAAATTTATAGCGCAACCAAGAAGGCCAGGCTTTTCTGCTGAGCTGCTTGATAGGATGATAACAACACCCATGACGAAATGTTTTTGATCGGTAGCAGGTGGTTCGACATGGTACTATGTCCGCAGTGCTAGGGGCGCGTGACCTTTTCACAGTAATGGAGCCGATCTTGACTTGGACTTTTAACCGTGTTGTTCATATGTCGAACAGACCAGAGAAGCTGCTGATACAAGTTCTGCTATTCTCGGGATAAAGACCATGCGTAGTGACAGTTGCGACAGGGTGACTCGTAATACCATGTCGTGCCGCAACACGGCCGGATGAAGAAGCGAGCCGTACATAATACGGCGTACAGATAAGGCAACTACCTATCGGTAGCTCCCGCAAAATTGTTGGACCCTGCATAGCCCTATGCCGCTACAGCAAATTTGGACCATGATAATATATAGGGTAAAGGACTTGGCACAGCCCTACGCCAGATCCATGTCGTGGAGAGAGCAGCAGTATGCAATCGCAGTGCAAGGTCCACGCTGACTGTACGGCAACCGTATGGTGGAATGCTTACCAGAGCGCTTGGATGGACAATTCAGCGAGCTATCCGACAAACGGACACCCCTTCATTTAACAGCTGTGGTGGCATGTTAGAGTCACAAATGACGAGCCTGTGCACGACAGCAATAGAAGCACTGAGGGAAATTATCGGATGATCAGCCAATGCAATCTTGAAACACTTTTCGAATGCCATCAGTCGCCTCTAGTGTGTACTTTCAGACATGGAGCTCTGTGAGATGTCAGGTGCATGGACTGTACACAAGATAAGTCCGAAAATCGCTTGTGGTACATGCGGCTGCCACAAAGCACGAAACAGCTTCGGAACATTGATAGTTGCGGACTGGTGGTCACAGATTGGGTGACGAGGCTGTTATGCACCAGCAAAATGGCGGCTGAATGGCGAAAACTGTCGTACTCAAGCCAATTACATAGTCTTCCAGCACGGTCCAGTCGATCTGCGCACATGGGCCGACCATCGCATTCTTCTGTGGCTGGTATGGCATGACGTCCGTTCGGCGATTGCAGGAGTGCAGCGAAATCTCCAGTGTCGCTTGACCCTGCGTTGCGGACCCCGCTGCGGAGCAATTCGACCTGGATGGACTGACGGAAACACCATGTACTGGGGTTAGCGGGAAATGCCATGGCTGGTATCTCAGTGCATATTGGCAATTTCCGTGGAGACAGAAAGGATGTTCAGCCCCTGCAGGTTCGATATCGACATGAGATACTCATCGCTCGCGATTTTTAGCTTGTCATGGAGTGTTGCTAACGCGACGCGTGAGTTTGGGATGCGTCGCATAATCGCTGCTGTCCTGTAGATGGGGGAACAGATAGATTTTAGCAGAAGGACCCTGTTCCCAGTTCTGGTGGAACGCTTTTACGCTTACCTACCTATGTATGCCAAAAGCGGTCGAGCGTTCGCCTATAGTTCGGGGGCATCAAACTTTCAAAGTCTGGCTGTTCACATCCTTACCACGCCAACCTTACTGACCCTTCGCTTCACGTCCTGTCAATGGCTCCCATTGGATCATTCGGCTCTGCTACCGAAACATGGTCAAGATGGTTGCTCGCCGACGGCGGACTTCGCATGTATAAGGGAGTCACCCACAGTTCGCCTATCAGCGCCCCCGCTGCAAAGACCCACGACAACTCACTCCACTACATAGAGACAGACACGGAGCTATTCACCATGTGGGCTTTCCGCGGCTGCAGACAAAGAAGACACACTGTCTACGAGAAGCTGCTTTACGTGTTCTGCCATGCGTGGCCAGCTGACAGCATGTGAACGACTCTGACCAAACTTCGGTTGATCAGTCCCAGCCAGCAAGGACACGCGATGCAGTGTCACTTTCGCAGCCAGACGTAACCTCAGGCCCGAGTCGTCTGCCACTGTGACGTCGTGGGTGAGTGAGCCACATAGCGCTCAAGCCACATATCAGTCTCAGTTGCAATTGACCATGACACTTGCGGCGTGTACCAAATATACATTCTCATGAATTTCTTGGGTTCATACGCGCAATGCGTAACTCTTGGCCCCGCCGCCTGTGAAGCAAATCGTGCCCCGCCGCGGCACAAGCGACCCAGAAGTCCATCAACTCTGGCAGGAAATTCTCCGTGGCCTCCAAACATTGCGAAGACGAGAAGTGACCAAGGTTTGCGTGTTAAAGGCCACCCGTGCGCGTCTTCATGTTTAGCGTGTAGTTTTAGCGGCACAATTATCAAAGACCAGATCGAGACTAGCTCAAGCCTTCAAGCAGACCCTTGCACCGGGCTACCGGTGACTCCCTTCCACGAGCCAGTCGAGGACGAGAATAACAACTTTGGGGAGCTTCCCGCATCCCAGACCATGTCCCCGGCGCATGAGCCGAAAAAAGGCTGGATTACCTCTTTCGTGACAGCGGTGTGCATACCTCGTCGCAGAAAGCCACAGCAGCTAGGGTAAGGCGCGACCGTTTACGCGTGCACAATCGCATCGAAAGAACAGGAACAATTGCGATGTGGTCGTGCACCTCCCCGCACTCCGTGCGCTGTATAAGATCTCAGCTCGCCCACATGTGTAAGCTTGGTCTGCCACACGAATACCATACAACAGACAGTAGTCGACCTTCGTTAAAGAGCTCTTGATAAGCAGCGCGATCAGTGGCAGAGCTCATCATCTGGCTGGCTTTCATCAATCCGTGAATCCCTGATCACCACAGGCGAAGCTCCGTCCATCCCCCTCAACTACAAATCTATCGACATGGACTCTCAATCATTCGATTACTGGATGTCGCAAAGCCGCTATATCCCGCCACAACACCAGCATGCCCCTCTTTATGATGGTCCGCCGGAGATGTCGAAAGTACCTAGCTTGAGTGGCTCGCCAGTAAGCTCAACTTACATATTTGTAGAGATCTCCTCCTTACAACTCCAGGTGTCCTCAACATGCGATCAATTTCCTGCGCCACTGCACCAGGCTTATTACCCCCAATTTGTCGATGAGCCAATGCACTTTATATTGCCAATGACACCTTCAGAGTACGGATCCGACCACGACAGCCCCTACTGCAGTCCGCGACCCATGCAACAAGTCGAACCCGTGTATATGACTGGCTCCGCGTCATTTCCTGCCGAAAGGACCCACACTACATCAGGGGTAGGTTTGTGATTCCCCAAGGCCTGTTGCCTGTCAGCTGACAACTACAGCGTCGACGAGCACAAAATCGTGCAGCCCAGCGCGCTTTCCGCGAACGAAAGGAGAAGCATGCCCGTGATCTCGAAGTCCAACTCTCAGCAATGACCGAGAAGTACAACAAACTCGAGCTGTCGCACACCGAACTGAATGCCGCATGCGAAAAACTTCGAATGACCATTGAACTACTTACTCAAGACGATGACACAGAGGGCGAAGACGAGGATAGCAAGACAATCAAGCGCAAGAGCAGTGGCTCAGATACTTTGCGAAAGCTACTCGAGATACTACATGGAGAGATCAAGGGTGTTACTCCTGTCAAACCAGAGTTGGCATGAAGGTGCCTCTGTCCTCTTTCTGTTTGTACATTCCATACTCATCTCATCCAAGATATCTGGATATCACAACGTTACAAAGATATTACTCTGGGCCCATACTGCGGCATTATAGACGGACACCCAGATGGATTATGAATTACGACGGGTGGTATTTTGCTTTTGCACCACTCTGACCTCTTCCTAGTTCTTGAAGGAAGCATGACGAAGATTGCAGATCGCCGCAGGCAGCGGCTTCATTTAGTATCAGGACACCAGGCAGTTTGCTCATACTTAATAACACTGTGATGATCAGTCTACATTCGTCTCCAAGCGCTGCTTAGACTCCACTTGCAAGACAGGCAGAGCGTGTACCCGACATACGCAAGTAAGGAAAAGTGCACCAGGTCAGACCAAGTGCAGCTGCATGTCTGGGGTTCTGCTCACTAATCTAACTCCTCATGCAATCAATCCGGGGACACCAGGATCGCTTGACGTGCTGAACTTGCTAGCCCAGGACTCCATCACCGTAGATACCAAAGTGTTCGGATTGCGAAGAGTGCAGAGTTTCGAAGCAAGCGCATTAAACGGACACGCATCTTCTCCTGCTAATCACTTCTATTATTAAGAGGTCAGTACCGGCGTATTAGCGCAACCCGTGGAAATGAGCAGCCGCCGTCTCATCTACTTGAGGAACAGTGGCTACTGATTGACAACTGAACGGTGCCCGAGACAAGGCTTAGCGAATCAGGCCCTCTGGTCGAGTCGCTCAAACCGCCTCGCTCAGACTCAGTCGCCCGGGAACGGCTGGTCGCTGCTTTACGCCGAGTCCGAAGGGTGGGTGACAAGGCAGGTTTTACCGATCAGATGAGGTCCGCGGGCCGTGAGCTGCATGGGTGCGCAGAGGACTGCAAAGCCAGTCAGTCGCTCGCATGGATATAAGCATAGAGAGCATGGGACTCTGTAGCTGACGTTCGAGGTCGTAAAATCAAGCGCCTGTTTGTGGTGACCGTTTGCACGCCGCCCCGTGATCGCACGTAGGTGCGGCGCTGCCTGTTTAAGACTCAAGGAAATGCGCAACACACATTTCAGAAGAACTAGAGGGAGGCCTCCAAAATCCAAATCAAATCCGAGCCACAAATTCGACTTAGGCAAGACTTTCCAGATGTAGTAAGATATCCTGACGGGTGATGTGGAGGCTCAACTAGCCCACCCCCCGTGATAGCTCGCTTGTGTATGTCACTTGAGGCTATATTTAGGCAGCCATCTTGAACGCCGGGCAGCGGTCAACGCAACGGCCGGCGAAGCAGCTGGAAGTGTCGTTTGTGTTTCCCTATGCAGGACCATCCTACATTTCTCATTGCGGTCATTGCAAGGTATCAACATGCGTGTCCGTTGTGATGGCTCGTTACCAGTTCATGCGATATCATTACTGTGCACCCGTATCGGATCATGTCATTTTATGTTGAGTCATTCGGCTCAGATATAGAGGGGGCTGCCAGGTCACCTATCCGTGTAGTCCATAACAGGCGCTTGTACCTAACTTAAGAGTTCGCTGCCGGTTTGGCCGATTGCCGTCATAAACCAGAGTAGTTGTGCATACCGGACGTTCTGAAGACATTGACCTGGCGTACGAAAACAAGCTAATGGGAAAGCATTACAGACTACGTCGAGACCATTGGGTGCTTTCAGTCTCGGTATAATTGCACTCTGCCCAGAACGCCGTCCTGCATTGGCTGCCGTTGACGTACCCGTAGCACTGCTGGAGCCATGGCCATAGTGTCTGTCGAGGGCGCAGGAAAGTATGCAGAGTAGAGGACATCATCGCTGGCATCTACTGTGTAGACGTGAGATTTGTTGCGCATTTGGTCTATGTGGGTGCAAGGCTGGCGATGGTGCAGTTCGACAGGATGGGCACTGCTGCTGGTCCTCCGGCCAAGGTTTTTGGTGTTGGAGCTGGCCTCGCATTGGTAAACGAGAGTATCAATGCTGCTAAAATGAGAATTGTGGACAATAGTATGGAGGTCATCTTGAAACGCGTCGAGACGCACCAGTTGAAGATGTCAGGCAGAAAGACCTGGCTCTGGATATTGAGGATATTTTCTATGTCTGCGACGTCGAGCTTTTTAAAAAGTGCTGTCGTACAGAGCTGCTCAGCCGTCTGTATGTACTACTTCACTTAATTGGGTTGAGCGAATCACAAAAGGGTCAATTAGGCCAGTTTGCTCGGCCGCACTGATTCCGCGGTCAGTTTTGCATGGACATCAATCGTCACGATGGAAGGGACACGGGAAGTGGCCCATGGAGCGTGACCACAAGTACCCCAGGCGCTTCCTTGACTGGCCCCAGGTAATTGTGATACACGACTCGTTGCTTGGGAAAGATGTTGTTGCAGCGATGATGGTTGAGGGCCAGGTGAGACTGGAGCAGGAGGGTTCAATGAATGACGTCAGAGCATGGCAGCCATCGCATCGTTTCAAATCAACGCCTGTGTTTGTCTCTGTCTGAATGGTCGACGTCGTCAATGAAAGGCCAAGTTACGAGCATATCAAGGCTGCACATACGCTAAAGCTTCGTGGAGACAAGGCAGACAGAGCATCAAACCACGAATGATGACGACACCACCTGACATTGCAGCACCGGTGGCAGTAGCGGCTCCAACATAGGAATGGTTTACATATCATGTGCAACATCCATCAACATGTGCACTTCCGGGACATCCAATTTCGATATTGCATAAGATCTCGACAACACCTTAGGCCTATCTCTCTACTTTTCACAACATCCAACATGGCAGCACCACCCTATGTCACACTCAAATCGCTGTCCGGCAAATACACTCTCAACAAAGCCTGCTCTGATGACTTTAGCAAAGTCCTCGCTCTCCAAGGCGTCAATCTACTCGTCCGAAAAGCAGCAACTGCAGCTTCGATCCACATCGCCATCTCGCAACCCTCACCCAACGAGATCAAGATGGCTCAGTCTGTGACCGCCGGCAAGATTCCCGGCACCTCAGAGGAATACACTCTTGACTGGGAGTGGCGCAGCAACGAAGACTCATTCTTTGGTAAGGTGGAGGGAAGGAGTCGGTGGGTCAGTGTTGAAGAAGGGCGAAAGTCAGGGATTGTCGGGCAGGCAGAGGGAGAGTGGATTGAGGGGGACAGCGAGGGAAGGCTGATTCAGGCTGAGGGAAAGAAGCAGGATGGTGAGTGGGAGGCGGCGCATCTTTGGGGCTTTGAGGTTGTTGACGGGGAGAGGAGACATACGAGGAGGGTATTGATTAAGAACAACAAGGGGGAGGAGCTGAGGGTGAGGATGGTGTACGATTACGTAGGCGAGTCCACCAAGTAATCTGGCGGATTCGCATCGATTCGGCATAAGGCTTGGCTAGGATTTCCGAGAGACAGAATGCAACTTGAATTGCACTCTCAATCGCTATCTAAACAAAATTCAACACGCTGTCAACTGTGTTCTGTGACACCTTGGAAAGCAAACGCATCTTGCTATATCCAACAACCAAGACATACGACTAAGTTGTTTTCAAGAGAGCTTCCAGTCAAGCTTTGAGTTGCGCAAACATCACTGCACACGCTCGAAAGCTATACTGACCCTCGTATCCAGTCTTAGTCACTGCGGCTGACATCAATAACAGCGATGTCGCTAGCAAACGACGTAGAAAGATATCTGTTGTGTGATACTGGGGGATTCACATGTAGTGAGATAGTGAGAACGTGTGACCGGGAAAGAGACAACTCATTGCAGGTCAAGTAATACGGAAAGCAAACGAGCGGACAAGAGATGCGGGCTGCGGTGGAAAATTCGGAATAAAACGGTCAGAGGAAGGATGAAGGAGATCCAAGTGTTGTTCATTCCGCGTTTCGCAAGGAATGTATGTCAGGTATCCGGATACGAACGCATGTCTGCAACCACCATGCAGGTTGCTGTGTAGTGGATGAGACTCGTCGCTCAGGACTAGGGCTAGTCTTGGCTCGTATGCTGGGTTGCCTGGGCAGGGCTGCGTCCGATGGGCAAAAGGCTCGAGGTGGTTGGTTTGAAAAAGGTCCGCCATAGGGCTGAGTGTATGGTTTTGTCGCAATCTCAATGTTGCAAGATTTATGTCGTAAGAGGTGTATCGCAAGGCTCAGTCGCAAGGCTGGGTCACTCCCTTACTTCGGCTTGCGTCGCGTAGTGCATTCGAGGCGCAAAGGCTTACCTTCCGTCACACTTCACCATGACACCACAGCATTATCGTATCAGCGTCGACCTCGACTAGACTTATGGTCTTTAGAACTACAAGTGATTAGCAGTGGGCATTCCAAACGCCTCCTGTTTTTGAGCCCGAAACTCCGTATCGCTATGCAAAGATTACAGGGGAATACTCTATAGGGTCCAAAGACCACTGCGCTTTTTGCCCATGGGGTAGACAAGAAGTGCAGCCATAAACAGACCCACGGTGATACCAATGGCAATCTGGATCATGGACGCTGCGACGTTGAAGACGATGGAGTTCAAGCCATCACTGGTAGTCTGCTATTCGTTAGCTGGTACCCCCTATATTCGACGTGTCACACTTACGTCGGCATCCGCTGAGCCTCTGATGAGTGCAGAAGCTGTTTCAAGAGCAGACTCAATGGCTCCACTTGAAGCAAGACTACCAGGAACCTGCACGTAGACAGCAGGCAAAAGCACAGCAGCAGCAACGCCGTGTCTGACGCGACTGTACATGTTGGCCAGAACACCGACAGTGAAAGCCCCAAAAGTGTAGGCAATAGGTGCGGATGACGAGAACTTCATGTTCGCAAAGAAGTTGACGGTGTACCCAGCAGTCGCGATCAAGATCATGGCCGGCATCTGCTTATACTTCGCCTGCACAGTGAACGTGACGAAGAAGACGTAGAGTGGAACGAATAAGAAGTTCCAATGCTTGTCTAACGCCGCTCCATTCGTGCACGTCTTTGCATTCGTGGCGTTTGGGTCGATAGCACCGTAGATGGCTGTGCCAACAGTGATACCATAGCCGAGAAAGAGCGAGTAGATGATAGCGAAAACAAGACGGATCGAGCCTGGAACGATGGCACGAGACTGTAGCTCCAACGCAGAACTGAGCACAAGCCATCCCGGAAGGATCATGGCAATGGCGCTTTGGGCGATCGCAGAGAAGCAGAATGTGTTGCCGCCGTTGATGCTGCCAAAGGCGCGTGCCAGAGCGCTCATCAAGATAGTCGCTGAAATTTCGAAAACGGTGCTGTATGTCTTAGAGAGCGGTGCAACAATCAACTGAAGGAAACCAAGCAGACAGCCAAGCGCAAAGATGATGGGGATATCGAAAGGGCGTGCTGAGAAGAAGCAGCTGACAGCTGCCGAAGCTGCACCATACATGAAGACGCACAGCCAAACGTTGTGACGATCCTTGGCGCTGATGACTTCATCCAGCCGCTGCAAGGCCTCGTCGAGACTGATGACATCGTGCAAAACCTCTTTGTAAATCTCGTGAGTGTCCTTCAGCTTGCCGAGGTTGACACCCTGCGCTGTGCGAACAATTTTGACTTCGGCTGTATCTATACATTGATACGTCAGTTCTTGTTTAAAAATGGGTAGTGGGGCTACTTACGAGTCATCGCGTCATCAAAGGAGATGAGCATGCAACCTGGAATGTACAAGAACTGGCTGTTGATCTCAAGGACCTTTGCTGTAGTTGCAAGATACTCTTCCAGACGGTGAGTAGGCGCTCCAAACAGCATCAGAGCGCGACACATGCGAATAATGTATTGCTGGCGCTTGAGAATGTTGGCAACGTGAATCTTGATGCGGACGTCCTGGTCTTCTTTGGCTTTCATGACCTTGGCAAGCAGGCCGCCACTACTAGTGCGCCTGTGATGCGGACGTGAAGGTAGCTCCTTCTTGTTGTTTGGATTGGCCAACTTGGCAGATGCCCCTACGAGGGTTGCCAAAGTCTCTTGCGACTGTGCCGTCTTCTCCTGCTTGTACCACTTCTTGCGTGATGGTGTGGCTGCACCAGAAGCGCTGCCAGGCCGGTCGGCAGTAGGAGGCGAGCTGTTGCTGGGCTCGGAAGGTGTGATCATGTCGCTGTAGGCTGGAAGTGGGTTCTTGTAAGCTTGGAGAAGCTGATAAAAGACACCGCCTTGCGGGTTCCCGGTGACAGCGTAGCCATCAGAATCGTCGAAGGGGTCAACACGTTCGCCTGTTGGGTGCTCATGAGGAGCTACAGCGTTGTGTGCAGCCAGCAGCTGCTCAGCAGCCGCGAGCGTCTCGTCATTGGCGTTCTCCAATGACTCGGCCTCGCTGATGTGACTCAAACTGGGACGCTCTTCGGCGGGGGTTCGTGGGGGAATCTCGGCGGCAACGCTGTTGATCCTCACACGTCCTCTTCCTGACGTCGCATTGCTGGGCTGCAAGGACTGCGACGGCTGGGAACGTGGGTATGCTTTGAGCTCGTGCTTGTTGTCGATGGTGCCGGAGGAGGAGTTGGTGGATGAGGGTTCCATGGCAGGCGTAATGCTACTGCAGGTACGAGGAACAGGCAGCTACAATGGCTGATATGATAGAAATGGGTACTTCCCCATGCTGGGCAGCGCAATGATTTTATTCACCGCAGCTCAAGCCCCGAGCTCTCATGGACCCTTGCGTTCCTCGGTGGCCCTCCCGAGGTGCATCGCGTGGAGTTGACGTTAGTCACGAAAACCCCTGCCCGGCCCAGAATAGAACAACGTGACTGAACTCTCTGCACATCGCTCGTCCCGATTAGGGCACTAGGAACGAGAGGGCGACTCACTGCGGCCGTGTTCGAGTCCGCCGCGTGTCATGGATGACGAAGAAATGGACAGAAGGGGTAGCCAAGCGACAGCCGAGGGTTCCCCGGACCGCAATTTCTCGTACTTTCTTTGAGACAAAACTTCAGTGGAATGGAACGCGCACGACCCGACGCATCAGAAGCTGGAGCAACAGCGCGAATGCCCACCCGAACGCGTCCCCGCGCTCGGCACACAACGCATCGTCTATCGTGAGATCATGTCAACAATTTATGCGACGAGCGGCTTGCAGCGAACGAAGAAGCGCCGGCCATTGATTCAGGAAAGGAACCTCCTGCAAGAGCATCAAAGTTCTAGACTGGAGGACCATGACTCAAACGGTTGTTACCAAAGCGCGGAAGGGTACGGCTACAACGCTATGGTCAGCCTTATTGCTCCTCTTTGGATCCTGACTCCACTGGAGTCGGTACTTAAGTACGCTCATACCAACGTCACGAGCGTTGGAAAGCTCTGCCTGCGCATCTCCTGACCGTCTTTTGAACATGACCCCTGGAGGAAGTGAGCTGTACCCACAGCAGTAGAGGGACTGCAAGTGGACATACAAAGACTACTAGGTACTACAGGTTGCATCAACGACCGATCGATCAAAGTTCTCACCGCACCCGAGTGGCCCGTTCACGTTGTGGATGCAGCCTCTCCACAAGTCACCAGTCCGAGCAGGAGTCGCAAGCAGTGCTACAGCTGTTAACAGCTGCGCGTGCCGCCTCAGCAGTGCTACGCATAGAGTCCTCACTCCTCGTATCGTTCTCGCCTAGGGATTGATTGTTACGACGCGCGGCATTCCATTCGACACAGTACTTGGTCCTGCAAGCGCGCAGAATGCACCTCAAGTTTGACCTTGCCATGCTCAGTTGATTTGGGCTTGTGCGGCTAAACCAGTGCACAATACAGCACGCCGCCTACAAGCTCACCGGCTGAGCGTCCTCCGGCTGAGCTGTATAGCTAATTCTCCCCGCCGGCAGGAAGAACAACGCAATCAGCGCGCCGCCTCGAACCTGTGGGTAACTGAGATATCGTCAGCATCTCGATCCTGCATCATCACTGTACGAAGAGCGACCCACTGATGTGTTCCTGCTCCGGGTGACGTCCATCCAGCACCCTGCCAACCCTGCATCCCCTTTAACTCCGCGGTCTTGTCGATCTGCACGACACAATTGATCTCGCCATACGGGTGCGAATGATACTGGCCGGAGAACACGTCATCCGACTCCATGTACACCGTGGTAATTGAAAAGAAGCGTGTGTCTTCCTTGGGCAATGCAATCTTAGAACGCCGGTAGTTCCTCCCGTTAATATCGATGTTTGCAGCCCATCCCTCCTCTACGCCCCTGCGAGTGAGGCTGCAAAGATCCTCGTAGATGGGATTCCCTGCGCCATAGTGAGTGTTCAGATATTTTTCCAGATCCTTGCCTGGGGTCCTAGAGAAGATCAGCACATTCTTCGCATTCACTGGCCTGTTTCTCACGTACAGATTTTCCACCTCCGCGAAAAAATCCTGACAACGCTTTAGCAGCTCCCGCGCTGTGGAATTGTTGGTAGTATCTACTTCGGCGCCTGCCGAATAGCTTTGAGTCTGCGTCTCTATCGCAGTCGCCATGGACACAATGTTGTGGGTCTACAGATGAAAACAACGATAAGTAGTGCAACGGAGAGGCCTGTTTCGAACAATGCGTTCGTCTATCGGCAATCACTCGTCGATGTTTCGTCGCAGCCGTTGGAGCTAAGCTTACCCCGCATCATCACAGTTGGCAGGCATCCAGTCAGAAGCCGCTTACACAGTTTGCGTGTTGCTGATAAAATCGGCCACATCACACGAAGTCTTTGTCATCGTCAGACCCCTTTCTTAGTCACAGGATACTTCATGTAAGACACTGAAAACGTCTCAAGGTCGAGATATGATTAATACTCAGCCTCCCTTGCTCAACACGCGTTCTTGACCCCGACAGGGTGTTCTGGACAGGGTGTTCGGTGACATCATTTGCTACTCTGAATTTGCTGCGATTGCTGACGAATTTCACGAGATCTTAAGCTCACCGTCCCGGCTCCGAGTCGTAGTTGCCATTGCTCGCGCAGTGAGCAAGTATGAGCTAGTTGACAGCTAATGAAGTACGACATCTGTGCGCTCAGAGACGCCTACGTGTGGTACCTCACACCATTAAGGACTTGACCAGGTTTAGAGCTCACAGATGATCAACATCCCCAAGCAATCGAGCTACCTGAAAGGACTTTAGACATTACAAATGTGTTTGTCGTTGGGTGGAGGGTGTTTGAGAAGCTTGAAGTCGGCTTTTCGATATGGTCAGTTCTCAGGAAGCATTGATCCAAAGCACCCGCTGCCAGATTCTGACCTGAACCAGTTGCCAGATAAGTCAGTCGAAGTTATGTCTGTTGAGATTAGAGCATTCAATACGAGCTTTCTCACACGTCGTTCGGGTCCTGCCGTCTTGTCATCGAGGTAGGAAGGGAGACGGCGGGTTCTATCGCGCGTCGATTGCCTGAATCCGTTGTCGTTTCGGAACAACCTAAACTATATATGCATTTCGAGCCGCCCTCAAACTTCACCACTTTATCATCAGCCATCTTCAATAATTCTCCGCCATGGAGCTCGATCGCCCTTGGCACACGGAGCCTCAATGCTATTTTTCAGACATTTCTTCTAGGCTGGTGTTCATGATCATGGCCATGGACCACCTTCCGCTTCCAACTCAGTTTGATCTCAGGGTATACTGGAACATCATTGAATCCCACACAAGCAATCCTAGACTGCTTCTGATCTGGAGTCAGTCACTGTCCCTCTGTTGCTGCCAAGTGCATTCGAGCAAGGATATTCCACATCTGCTCGGCACGTTCGTTCTTTCGAAGTTTGGAAGACCGAACAACATGGGGTTGAATCCCCATATCTTCATACACAGTTAGTTGCCGCAGCGAACAGCAGCTGTTGACAGTTTCACGTCTCTAAAGATGATGCAAGACGCAGCGTTTTTGGTTCGAGAAAGGGGTTGGCGAAGATCTCGACGTTGAAGTCACTGAGAAGCCTCTTGCGCAGATCAAAGGCGCTCACAAGGATTTGTTGAAGGTCTTGCTTTTCGCAAAGCTCTAGCGTCTCGAAGACGTGAAGTTCGTGAAGCGCTCGCAGGAAGCAGGCCCTTGTCTCACTTCTCGAGATACCTATAACGTAGATTATCACCGAGCCGGCCATATCACTGAACCGGCCATTTTCTCTTGGCACGACTAACACAAGTTACTGCAACTACAACTACTTACTATTAAACAGTGACCCAGCATACTGCGTGCTTGTATTAGATTTAGAAGATGTTTCTGCACCCTCCTAGCACGTTTGTGCGTTGTGTCTAGTTTTGCTGCAGTTCCTACAGCGCTGAACAGTTGACTGAGCTCCTAGTTGACCACCTCCACCCCGAGTCTTCTTAGATGGCTGAGCTGCTACACACGCCTCAGCAGCTACCCGTGATGCTGCTGGGCCATACTCAAGTGTGCCACCATGCTGAATCTGCTTTCTCTTACGCGATTTTCTCTTAGTTATTACTGCTAATTGCTCTTCAAGCTCTTGCATGCGGGCCTTGATAAGGACGTTTTTGTGCAGCATCTCTTCAGCCCCTTTTACAAGCTTTAAGAACCCCTCTTGCGCTGCACTTAGCAATTATTAGAAGGAGTTGCTTATAAGCTTAGATTAAGACCTAAACTTGTGTGTATTGCTTAGCGTCTTAGATTGCTATAGTGTTTTAGGTAGAGGTACTGCTAGTAGGGTATGCAGCTGCACTTTAAGGCAATCTAACACTACCTGCATGTTAGTAGGAACAAGCCCTAATACCTTAAAGGCCTTTTAGTAGTTAACCTTTATAAACATATTAAGGAACATATCCCTAAAGGCTAGTAGGAAGCCTTCCTTATTAATATAGAAGACGTGTTAGCGTGCTAAGTCTTAAACATATTAGGAGTACTTACACTTTAATAGTAAGAAATAGACCACGTTAAGTAGCTAGAGGATGTGCAATAAGTAAGGTAGTATGCAGAGAGTAAGGATTTAGTTCTCTAGGTAATAGTCCTTAAACTCCTAGTTAAGATAGCTCTTATAGCTGTCTAAGATAAGCAGCCTATACACTGCTACCTAACGCGTCTTTGTATGCGTGTTAAAGTGCTTTAACTACTTAAGGCTAAGCATGTTGTTTGTCTAACTATTCTTAGAGACTAAGAGCTTCTAATTATAGGGTATATCTGTCTCCTTATACTAGGCAGAGATGTGGACGCGTTCTTTGTAGATGATGAAAGGCAGGGTTGCATACCCAGCGGCGCAGATGCTCTGGATAACGGTAACCCACTCGCGATCACCTGGCTGAACAAGCTCTGGCTGAGCACGTCTCTCTAAGCCTGTTACAACCTTTAAAGACAAAGCAACGCCTATCTAGAACCTAGTTTTATTAAAGTTGTGCACGTTGTTATTACAAATACTATACTTAACTTAAGTATCCTCTACTAGCTTAAACTACGCGCTAATTATCTTAGGATCTTCCTATAGTATCCTCTGTCTATCCTTAGCTTAATTAAAGGCTATTTTAAGCTTGTCTAAACGTGTTACAAGCCTGCTAGCCTATAGTTTGCTAACAGGCTCTTCACCACGCACACTAAGTATCTTATTAGCTATATCTGCTACCTCACATAGCTGGGGCGCAAATCCTCACAAATTAAGGTTAAGTATATACTAGATAATTGTCTACTCCTCTAGTATAGTAAGTTTCTAGCAATTAGCGCGTACATCTAGTTAAAACGTGATATTGCAAAGGCAATTAGAGACCTGCTAATAAGGTACGTTCAACGCTCTAGCAGTGCTGTAGATACTGCGAAATTGGCTAGCATAGAAGGCCTAGATAGTAAGGATAACTCTGCCTTCTCTAGTAGTATTCTGAAGTTGTTGTTGTTGAGGCATGTTGTGTTAGGGTAAAAGGTGGTCGTGCCAAGAGAAAGTGGCTGGTTTGGTGATATGGCCGGCTCGGTGATAATCTACGTTAGCGAAGTGCATCAAAAAGAAAGCTTTTGAAGATGAGAAGGAAAAGGCCGTGAAGAAGATCGCGAGAAAGATGTCTGGTGACTATGAGAATTACTCCATCGGGAGGAACAGCGATATCGGGAAGACCAAAGGGCGAGACAATGAGTTTCTCAGGCGTTGTAAGCGCCCGACGAGTGCTTCTCCACCTGGCCAATAGGCTTTCGCAACGTTCGAAAGGTAGTTGTGGGACTAACTTCCGGAACCTGGATTGACGACAATCGCGATATCTACCACGTAGAGCCTTTAACGTTCCTGTTCTCCCATCTCCTTCGACTGCCCTCACTTACCACTGTTTACTTTAATATATCACATGTGTATTCGACCCTTACATGGGTCGCAGAATTCCTACAGGTAGCGCGGGTGCAGAATATGACGCACTGTGGGCGAAGCATGACACCAGACTTGAAGATGTATCACGCAGCAGAGCCCCAGATAGACTGGCATTGGGTCTGTTCCTTTAGCATCCTTGGTATGGTCCCAATGGCTGCTACTCCAACACCACTGATTCGAAGTCCACCTCGCTCCTGCCTTGTACAGCTTCGCCTCTCATGATCCCGTAGATAAATACCTGACCCAAGAGCTTGTAGGTACCTCTACCTGTCGGTCGGAGGACGAACGGCATTTTAGCTCCCATTGGTAGCCATACCTCATCGAGAAAGTCTGAGACCACAGGGCCCAAGCCAAAGCGACCATTGCGTGTCAAGAACACGACTCTCCATCTAGCTGCCCGATTCAATTCGCCTGCGAAGAAATCTGCAGCTTCATCGTCTTCCGGATTTGGTAACCTGTCTTCATCGATGGCCTGTTGTCGTCGATAATAGGCTTTGAAGGTATTCAAATGGTGGTCTGTATGCTCGTCCGCTGGTACGGCGTACATGTCAGGGCCTGAGGTAAGGCCTGCTGTCATGGTTGTCGCAAGCGCTGTTAAGAATGCATCCTCGTAGGGATACGACGATATGCTCGGTGGCGATATATAACTCACATCGCCCCTTCTAGGTATGTCGCCCAGTAGTTCGGCCAGTGTTTTTGCGAGATGTTCGGGTGTTACGGTGGTAGGAGGGCGCAGTGCCACCCAAATTGTCCCCAGACGAAGTGCTTTGAATGATAGCTTCGGACGCATTGGCGATATGCGCGATGTTCGTATCGTGAAAGCTGTGTTAGACAGCCCCTTTGAGGCTGCGTAATATATCCCGCTTCCCAAGAATTTCGCTGGCTTATCCATGAGATCCCACCGAGGTATCCAAGAGGCGACTTTCAGATCAATCGTCCTCTCACTGTGGGCTATGCTCGCCAGTACATTAAGCCCAATGTTGAACTCTTTGATCGCTGCGAACGCAAGATCCTTACAGAGCTCTGGAAACCTGTATGACGTGCTGTAATTTGGTGCGATGATCGTTCGCCGATTCTGGTAATAATTTGTAGGATACCAAAAGTATGGATCGACGTCGCAAAGCTGACGCTTAAATGCAGAGGGATGGCCAAGAAAAGCGTAAATTAGATCTTTGCGTTCCGTGCATTGCAATCCGCGAGCAGAGCGAAGGATGTCAAAGAAGGTTTCTGCTTCCTGTGCGTCTTCGCCGAGTTCGATGCGGATATTGCTCCACGCGGATCGCCAATAATCCTCCCCAAGATGAATTATCTGTAAGTCGAGATCGTTCCATATGCTCAGACCAGTTTTCGAGTGCATTAGAACACGTTCAAAATTGTCTAGCTCGTTTCGATTAAAGGTGTACGTCCCGCAGTAGAACTCGGCGTACCTCGACAGACCAAGTTCTTGTACCACCCACACTCGTGTGAACCATGGGCGTTCGAGAAGCCGGCGCAAAGACGCCCAGTGTGAGCGCTGCATTGATTCCGGGTCCTTGAAGAGGCCTTTGCTGAGTACCCCAAGCTTCTGGCCGCCAGGATCGGGGCGGCAAGACTCATATAGTCGACTGTATTCTTTGATAAGCTGAATTGCGTGGTGGACCTGGTATTGTTCCTCAATTTCGTTATCTTGACCCAACCATACCCGTACACGACGAGCCTTAAAGTAGATCAGACCCATCAGCTTGACTTGCGCCGCACGCTCATAGTTGTCTCTTTGATTGATACAGAGTGCATCTGCCCAGATAATCTGGGCTCTGAGTGGATCTCGGAACCGACGAAGTGCGTCCACAAGATTTGCTGTGACACTGATGCTAACACCATCGCCTGGGCTGATTAGGGCTGGAAATGCAATCGGCGGTGAGATAGAGGACGCACAACTTATTTCGACTACTTGTTTGCGGTCGCCCCAAACATAGGAGATAGCATCGAATCGCTCCCATCCCTCAATCTTAGATTCGGCTGCTATGTCTTCATATGCCAGAAGATCGACAATGTGTAACTGACATGCTATCTGGGAGTCCGGTGTGCCAGCATGCAGTCTCAGTAAGCGTATTTGGTTTTCCTTCAGTGGGGTATACAATTGGTGTGGTCCTCGGATTGAAGAATAAGAGCGGCTTAGACAAAGAGACAACATCCCACGGCTAAAATTGTTGCAGTGTAGCAGAGCAGTGAGTGTGCCAGATGTCAGATCCCGCGTGAAGGTCTGGAGGGCTGAAGAGTTTGGAGGACTAGCAAATGCACACTGGATTCTTTGAGACACATGATTTGTACCGTCGCTAAAGCCCCCCTTTTTTGCGCCCAAAAGATACCAAGTGGCATGTTGCGGCGACAGCTATGGTCTGAGAAAGTCGATCGCAGTACCCGATACGCCAGAAGATTGGTGCCAGCGCGTAGAAGAATGCATGGCTTGCCGCCACAAAGCATGTCACGGCGCTTACCGCTGCGGGCCGTAAAACCGCCCTCCCGCCCCCCGACTGTTTAATTTGCATCGCGGTTGGCATTCGCTGGGTCCTTTTTGAGTGCTGGATTGAAGTCGGGAGTTCACATATGATGTGTTTTCGAAGCTGCGAAGGCAGCGAGTGGACCCTTGATTTTCTAGTCCTACTTAGGTAAAGCCAAGTCCGAGTGCGTTCCGAGTATCGTCAGCTCGTCAGCCTCGCGTGGCCGCATTCTCTAGGCTTCTCTGTGCTTCCCTTTTCTGGCAAACACCTGGCTCGATTGCCTGCTGTACCCTTGTCGAAGGTCCCCAGATCACACTTCTGTACTAAGGAAAAGGACAAATACCCGCACACCCTCGAATCGTTGACCTGATGGCGACCGGCGACGTGGAGAACATAGGGAGACACTGCGAACTGGAGTATTGCGGGCAGCTCGATTTTCTGCCATTCCCCTGCGCCAGTTGTAAAGGGTCTGTTTACATCATGATTCGAACTGACCATTTGCTAACAGTTGTAGGCACTATTGTCTTGACCATCGATCAGAATACGCACATAAATGTCCTAAGGAGGGCAAGGCCGCCAAAGAGGCTCAAAAGAAGAGGCTAGCGGAGCAAAATGACAGCAGCACACCGGTCAGCACATCGTGGACAGGCAAACCAAATGTTCTATATCACGAAGGCCAATGTTCGAAAACGACCTGCAAAGTCCTCATCGATACAACTCGCGAACAGGGCGTGACCTGCGAGCGATGCAACCGCCGATACTGCCTTTCGCACCGCCACGAAGAGCAACACGAGTGCAAAACCCTTACACCGATCGGCACACGGCCTCCTACTGTACAACAACGGACGCAATCAGCACTCTCGAAGCTGAAGTTATGGGCGGAGAACAAGCGCAAGGAAGACGAAAAGAGGCGAGCCGGGCCTAAGAAGTCCGGCTTCCTTGGTCTCGGCAAGAGTTCGAACTCGAGTGCGGCAGTGTCGGCACAGGTCGAGCTCAACGCGCTCAAGCGTGCAGCGAAGGGTGACGCAAAGGTACCGCAAGAGAAGAGGATTTACCTGCACGTTGAAGCCTCAAGCGACACCACGAGAGCGAAGTTTCCGACCGGTAAATTTTTCTACAGCAAGGACATCAGCGTGGGAAGGGTGCTAGATATGGCAGCCAAGGCACTAATGGTGGAGAACGTCAACAATCGCAGTGAAAAAGAGGAGGATAAGTTGCGAGTATTCCATGTAGAGGGTGGACGGTTGCTGAAGTTCAGCGAGAAGATTGGCGACGCGACGCAGAATGGAAACATGATTGTCTTACTGAGAGGTGTCGGTGATGGGGAGCCAGATCTCATTGACTTGTGAGATTGATGGAATACGATAGCGAGCATATAGAAAGGCGCAGGAGGATGGTGACATATTCAGAGAAGAAGATACCCTTATTGCAACGACTTATGATAGCATTTTGCGGCGCATCGAATCAATTGTGGCATTCGGTTGTGCATGCTCTTGCTTCCCTCACCATCTTCATACTCAGCTCACTCACCTGAAACCGTACGGTGGTCGAAACAACGCAGCATGGGCAGCGAGATCGCTCAGCCCAGCGCGACTACCAGACCTTACCCTTTGCCAGCAAGTCAACACGAGCAGTCACCATGACGCATCCCATCGGAAGGCTAACTTTACTCTTAGATTCTGCGCAAGAGCTTGTTCTACATCGATGGTCCAACCTGCAGTGACGTCGAGCACTTCGAACATCAGTGTCATCTGTTGCTTCAAGCAAGATGAGAGACTCCGCCGAATGTCTCAATGCCAACCCATGCCGTGCTCAGAAACGGCTTCATGGCTGATAGGGTAGCAACACCAACGACGCCATGATCTTCTTCGAGAGGGCTCCAAATACTTCCAACAACAATACGCCTCGCTCAAGTAATAACAAGATTGCAGTTTTCTTCTCCACGTCCGCTACATCCCCGCGACCTGCCTGTGTCGACTCAGTCCTTGTTCATGTCTCATCTGCTTTGAGACAGCGTGGGTGTGATGTCGTGTGGCATGCCGTAGCCTTGTCGCTTGGTGAGTCAAACACCGTTCGTCCAGAGCAGAATCTGCTCCTCATGAGCTCAGATTCTGGTTGAAGCATTGCAAGCTGTGGATTCTTGTTCCCCAGCCGATGCTTGCTAGATTGTTGACCCCATCGGCAAAAGTCAGGTATTGGTCACCGCTTTGGATCTTGCATTCGTAATTGCTGGACTGACGTTAGCCCTGGCTCTCAGCTCGAAACAATCAGAATACATACTCGAAAAACTGGCAATACCAGTAGTCAGCTCTGCTCAGCACGGCGGAGACATCGTGGCCGCCAACAAGGATGGACTGCACTCGTCCATCGATCCTATACACCATCAGATGCGCGCTCCGAATGCATCGTTCTTGGCGGTCTTACAAGTTATTGTCAAGCGACAGACACTTATTGTCGTACACATCCACGGAGACCTCGGAGAAGAAGGCGGGTGCGGCAAATAGTTGAACTTTGATTCGATTGCTGGCGATCAAGTCACTGGCTGCCGCAACGCTTGCGCAGGCCAGGACCGACGAGAGAATCGCAAGAGATGAACTGCGCATTGCAGCGCGCGCATTCAGGTCGAGGCGCAATCGCAGGGTGGGTTTCGGTGACTCGGCGGTGGGTGGACGTCGGTGAGGTTGGCCTGGGGTGAACGCAGCGGGCACAAGGAAGACTGGTGACGCGGTGCGTGCGCCAATTGGCTTGCACTGCCTCCATGCCCGCCCGTAGCAGGATTAAGGCCTATGTTCGTGCGAGCGGGGCGTGGAAGCAACACACAACAACAAAGAGATGCGGGATTGAGTTTTGTTTGTTGACGAGAAGTAACTGCCTTAACGGTACTGACACCTCTTGGACGTGTTTCGTGGTAAAGTGTGGCGGCATGGGTGCTCCAGGCTGTGTCCGGGTCCCCCAGAACCGAAGCCGACCGTTCGAACATGCACTCGCGCTGACGTAAATCAAGCGCCGGGGATGGATCGTCAGTCGATACCAAGACTCAACATCCCCTTCAAGGTTTAAGACTGCGCATGGAAAGCCTTTTTTAGGATTTTGAAATGTTTCTCGTGTTTCTCGTGTCTCTCCCAGGCGTTATCCGTGACGCGTATACTCGACTGAGTTGTGCTGGCGGCACGCGCACCTCTCGGCGCCTGCCGCAACACCACAAAGCGCACGATGCACATGACCACTCGGCGATCGTACGGCTCTACTGCGGATCCCTTGCTCTTTGATCAGCGGGGACGTTGCGCGGCTTTGTAGGTAGACATCGTTCTCCTCGCCTGTCTTATGTCTCGAGTGTAAACTAGCAATGATGCGTTGACAAGGTCGTGAGATGAAGCGAGGAGCGCCAGTTTGATCATCGCAGATTGCACCCTGGGGCCGTCTGCACAAGTCCTCGTGGAAATGAGATGGCCTCGGTAGGCGCAGGTAGGGGTTGTGCGCACAACGTCAAGATCAACGTCTGCTTCGGCCTGGTCGCTCAAGGGCAACCTTGCTTGCGCCAAAGCCAGGTTGCAGGCTCTGAGATTGTCTGACAGGCAAGGCAGCCCTGTGTTTGTACACTCATCCACATGTCAACGACTCCACACTCATTTACGGCTCACCACAGCGACGATGCAAGACAGTCACATGTCAATCATTTTGTGGAACGAGACGCATTGTTGATGCTCAGAAGAGCAATGCCAGTTCTATACCTAGCTGGATATGTGAATATCTACACCTGAAGTCGTGCCTGATCGTGAGAAAGTGGTATCCGCCAAAGAAGAGAAAAAGTCCAAGATATGCCCCAAATTTTCCAGTATCCGATCGTCCATATGCGCCAAACCCCTGTCCATGAAAATAAGAGATCACGCTACCAAACAGCTTAGTTGGAGAAGTCACGAGCGTGACGGCGGGTGATGCTGGCGACAGCGACAGAGGCGAGCTCAGGGCCGGGAGAGTCGAGGATGGTCTTGCCGGCATCGTGCCAGTACAGGTCCCAGGTGAGAAGCTCGTCCTTAGCCGAGTAGATCTCAGTGCCCTTGACACCAGCGGGGACAGACTTGCTGTCGTCACCACCGGTGACCTTGATGTTGAAGGCCTGGGGCCAAAACTGGCGGTTGGAGACAGCGCCGTTGTTGTGAATCGAGGCAACCTCAGTACGGAGGACGTAGTTACCCGAGGGGATCTCACTGGGGATAGTGACGGTGTGGGCGTTGCCGTTGTCGTAGAAGATGGCGTCGGTGCCCCACTTTCCGGTGTAGCCCTGAGCAGAGTTGCCCTCAGCGTAACGGGTGCCTTGGGGGTAGGAGGTCAAGGCGACTTGGTCGATCTTGAAGAACTCCAGATTGGTCTTGTCGACCACGGAGCAGTCACCGTTGCAGGCAGCGAGCCAGGTGGCGGTCCATCCATGGTGGGAGCAGTCCCAACCCTCCTCGCCCTCGCCACAGCTGCCCTTGTGGTGCCAGTGAAAGGTGACCGTAGATCCGGCAGGGGCTTCGGCGGTGTTGGGCGAAGGAGTAGCGTCCCTGTGAGCAATGATGTCGGGCTTGTTTATCGAGTCACCCATGATAGGCTGGTAGCCCCAGCCCTGGTTGGTCTTCCAGGCAGGAGAGCCCTCCTCGAGAGGAGAGTCGATGGAAGCACCACGAAAACCCTGGTAGGTTTTCCCTCCAATCTCAGCGCTCTCGACGGCAGTGTGGCCGGAAACATGGGCAACAAGGCCCGCAAGGAGGACAGCAGCGTTGAAGATCTTGGACATTTTGATGATGATGTTAGAGGTGATTTTGTTTTCGAGTCAAGTTGCCTGAACTTGAAGTTTTGATTTGCGAGTGGGTGTGTTTGTAGAGAGTGAATGTGAATTTCGAGCTCACAGAGCTGTAGAAGGAATGACTGGTCAAGAAATGACTGAAAGAGAGACTGAGGCGGCTGGGCGTGAGGAGAGAATGGAACGGGAAGGTATCGACCTTTTGTACTCTACAGTGGCTCCCGGCAAAGCTCATCTCGTATTTCTTGGAGGCGCTGGGTTCCTCTGTGATCAGCCACCCGGGCCCAAGCTGCGCGTCCGGGCTTGATGTCGCACTTTCTAACAGCCCGACTGGTCAACGGAGCGGACACTTGACATGAGCTAATGTAGGTACGAAGAAGCTAGACCCTAGTCAGACGAAGACCTTATCGATAGTCCCGCGCTCCTTGAAGGAGAAAGTTCTTCGGCAGGCCCAACATTTGGTCATCTGAGATCTCCGCACCTGATGCTCAAGTCTGGATGACACTGAGCAGTGCCGCATGGCACTTTTGCAGTGACATCGAATCTCCTATCAAGCACAAAATCCGTTCTCTTCCAGTTTTCGGAGATAAGTGTCCTGCTCTTACTCTCTGAAAACACGACAATCCTTGTAGATTGCGACCTAGGCCGAAGTCGTTCGGCTGTTGGGATCCAGGAACGCTCTCCCTTCGTAGCCGGCGTTCCTGAATCCAGACTTTGAAAATGCGGAGCCGTGGAGCAGCGTCATCTGCATACCCAACGAATCAAGGACGATGGCGTTACGTCCTCCTTACGAGCAACGTGGATCCTTTGAAATTGAACGGCTCGACTACGGGCTCGGCGCGGTTGGTGCGCGGCAACGTGGTAGACCTGCCGCCGGGCAGTCCAGCGCTAGTGTTTCAGACGTCAGCCCTAGCGAATGCCTATCGATAAACAAGAAGGACACAAGCACGGCAAAGCACGTCAAGCTGCAGTGCACCTCAACAGTGGTCTACGCGATCGTCACGACTTCTGGCCATGGTCTAAGGCAAAGACGAGCTGCTGGCGCCGGCACAGAAGGCAGCGTTCCCGTATTTTTTTTTCATCCTCGAGTGCGCTTTTGAGAAAGTCACGTAGATCAAAACGATCGTCCCTCGCTGAGACCGGGAGCACCAACCTTCAAGTTGGCGTTGCAACTGCCCTTGGTATTTTTCCTTTGACAGTCAGTTGCGCCACTTTTCTATCTTTCCCGAAACCGCGGAGCTTTGGTTTTGTTTCGTCTCATGCGGGCGGTAAAGTGATAACAAGATGCGCCTGGGCAGCCACAGAGTGTTTTGGTATTGCTGTGACGTGGGAGTGTGGGAGTACATACCTAGTGCGCAAGAGCAACGGCGAACGGTAAACCCACGTCCCAATGGGGAAGTATCCTTGTGGATCACAGCTCAACTTTGATCTCGACACCCGCAAACGACTGAAGGCGAAACACTTGAAAGCGCACAACATTTGCATGCAGACAAAATTGCATGTCGGGCGAAATTGCGCTTCGGTGAGACTAGCACCTGAGCATAAATACGTTAAGAAATGATCAGAACATGACCTGGCTCAGTCAGTGGAGTCGATCACGAACAAGAGCAAGTTCTGCTTTCTCATTCGTTTGAATTGTGCATCACCTTGTAAGGTGCGCGACAGTGGTCGGCGCGGACTTTTATAGACACACACTCAAGACATCGGCATTCCCACTTTGAAGGGCTGGCTAAGCAACAGATGGTTTCGAACGATGCCATCAGCTCAGCCTTTCGAGCTGAGAGGATGCAGTATCGAGCCGGATGAACATTTTGTGCATGAAAACAGCCGACGAATATTGGATCAGATGCATGGCGTACGGCCGATTCTAGAATTTACAGTCTGGATTCAAGCCACAGGGTCAGCTTATGCGCAAAGGTCACGCCGTAAAACTCGGATGTGGAGCTGCATGCGCTGAATAAGTTGCTCATATTCTACGTCGACCATCGCCAATTACAGCAGAGGTTCTATACATCTCGTCGCGGATTTCACTTATCCGGGTCTTTAGACAATGATGCTGCTCGTAATTCCAGGAGCAAGCGACGCCTACGGACCTCATGCTCCCGCAATTGTTCCCATTCGTTGATATCCACGCTTCGGTTCCTCCAGGAAGGATGCATTTGCAGTGGGCTTCGAACGGTGCTCTAATTGACACACTGTGCAGACCAGTAACTAGCCCCGACAGTGGACGACATGTAGGGAAAGCAACCTCAAAGAGATGCGCAAACATTATCCAGGCAGTATTTCAAACCCATAGAATCTTTGTCCACGAGTCCTTTCACGATAGATGTTGTTCCGCACTTGCCGCTATGCTCTTGGCGTTGCAGCAGATCCTGCCGTTACTTCGCGATTGAGTCTGAAAGACCCAGCTGTACATGCGTCTGTCAACAGTTGTTGAGGCGGAGCAGTTCGCCCATGGCCACTACAAGATAAAGGTGTTGCTGTATAGTTCTGCCAATTTCGGCTGCATCATGTGCACAAGCCCCCACCTGGCTGCAAGCGGACTTTGAACAAGTGTTTATACTTAGGAGATAGCCCAGCCACAACCTCCATCATTTGAAGTGACTGTGAGGAAGTAAAAGTTGATGATAGACGTTCGATATTATGTTGTGGCGTATAGAGCAAACATGGTTTATGTTGGTGAAGAACATCTTGATGCAAACGTCACCTTCCAATTCTGACCGAAACACTGGAGTTCCATGGAATTGACACTATATTGAGATATCATTATGTGTATGAACTTCACCGCTGAATTCGCATCTAGCTTGCTGCGGCATCTAATCTTGCTAGTCAAGCGGACGCCCAATCCTGTTATCTGACGGTTGGCATATCTCTAATTCGTAATGACAGGTGCAGTGTTATCCCAGTCACTCCTCTCAGCTGCATCCACAAGAAACTTCACAACACTATCCCTCGTAATATCAGCTAGCACAGACACGCCCTTCCCGTGGTTGGAGTACTCCTTAATCTCCTTGGTTTCGTCCTCCATCAGTCTCGGCGGGCGCACAAGAACATAATTTTCTGCGCTTGCTTTTGTCTCTTTGGCAACGAGGTTGTGGTCATTGTATTGATATATCATGTTGCTTTTCTTCATCAGCAACTGCAGCACGCGATGCATGTTGATCCATGATTCGCCCACGTCGAAGGCTTGCAATATGACGATCTTGGATGTGCCGAACTTCTTCGTAATGGTTACGATGTTTGCTGTTGAGTCTGCCATCAATCTAGCCGGTGCGATGACTGCTGCGAAGAGACTGTCGCTGGCCTGTGGCGCTGACAGGGTAAGGATGACAGCTTCAGGCTTACTCTGGACGAATGCTTCACGGACATCCTGGATCTCCATCGGTGTGCCGGCGACTGTTTTGAGCCTTGCGTTGATCTTGTCCTTCATAGCTCCAGGTTTCTAGACCAGGGCAGGACTTCGTGGTTTCGTTGGAGAAGCTCTTCAATAACGAGTTTTCCAGTACGGCCACTTCCGCCAATGACTAAGATTTTTCGACTTGAAGTCATGATGAAGCTGTGGACACTGTGTGACTGAGCTCTGTGCTGTTTGTCGACAACTGCTCGTTGCTCTTGATTTGGATTGCAACGATAGACGATTGTGGTAAAGGTGCGTGTTGGGCACTGGTGCAAGCAACTGGAGATTACTTGCCCTGGCCTTGGAGCCTCCATCTTATGTGAAACAACTGTGTTCGTTATCCGTCATCTACATTGTCAACGGTGCTGATGTTCGGACAGTCCGGAGAACCGGAGGAGCCGGACTTAAGCTCATGTTCGGCTCCGAATAATGGAGTCCTGATAGCAGGTTGTCTTAAGAACGCGCGGACATAACACAAGGTCATTGGAAGGGGTGATTAAGCTGCTGGGGAGTGTTGTGTACCAACAATCTCGGCCCGAAAGGTGTGCTGCTCAGCCAAGACCCAGCTTGTGGCGTGGAAATCGTAATACCTACCTCGCCGCTTAACTCTCCATCATCCTTACCCTCTTCCTTCCCACGATCCTATGATTGGATTGACTTCGCCCGCAGCTACCTCCGAGCCACTCTGTGCGTTCGAGTACCCTCTGCTCTGAGCTTCATGCTCGCCAGTTTAGTTCCACGTCCCGTCTTTCGTTCTGCAGCACGATACGATGCCTTCTGCTCCAGACTGCATAAATGTCCGGCTTTGCCAACATTGCGTTTTAATGGCGCAGCATGATAGTGCTACTGACAGCTGCGCCGTTCGATTGTATCCATGCTGACCGACATCGTTCTTGCGCACGTGTCCCGCTGGCCAGAAGGCTACCTATGCGGATGTCGCGGTTGTGTTGTGCCTGAAAAGCGATGACGCCTGAACCAAATCCGGTAGCCGCGGGGGCGGGAAGGCTCCGCTCGTGGGGAGGAAGCCGCTCAGCACCTCAACCCAAAGCCTTGCGCTTGGCTCCTCGCACACTTTGCCACGCCGATGACAGCACAATTAAGCTGTGATGGACGAACTGAATCCCCGCAAGCGACCGCGGCCTGTCGTGTCCTGTTTGCGCTGTCGAGACAAGAAGCTGAAGTGCGACCGCACCTCGCCATGTGAGAACTGCGTGAAAGCGCAGATAGCGGACAGCTGCACATACAAACGCGGTCTGAATATGTCATCAAAAAAGTCTCCGTCTATTTCAACGGCGACTATCGGTGCTGTCGAAGACCTTCAGGCTAGGCTTGCAAAAGTCGAAGAAATGCTAGGCATTCGCAGCAGCAGGCATTCGACTTCCAATGGCTTGGCAGAAGACGCCCAGCCGCACGCGATCGGAACGGTGGTGGTGAAAGGGAGCAGAAGCATCTTCTACGGGCAAAACAACCGAACTACTTTGCTAAATCAGGTATGGGCTATCACCTGGCTTCCTTCCCACCATTCTGCATATAAGCATCTGACGATCCACAGTTCTTGGAAGTCAGGGAGTTTATCAACGAGATATCCAACGATAAGCAAGTCCAGGCCTCAGTGAAGCAGATAAAGTTCCTGCAGAACAAGTCGAGGAGCAAGATTGGTTCACCGGACAGCGCACCTGGCTCAGACTTCTCTATGGCTCTCCTCAAATTGCGAGAGTATCTGCCGCCCAAAGCGTACTGCGATCGACTGGTGCACATACACTGTCAGCATTTCGAGCGCACGTTCAGAGTTCTGCACATTCCTACATTCATGCGCCGCTACTATCAGATCTGGATGCCGGTCTCTAACGAGAATGCCGATATCTTTACTTCTTCTAGCATTATACCTGAAGTCACCACCGTCATGACGATGGCTTACCACATGGATGATTCACCGCAGGTCGGCGAGGATCGTAATCACAGGACGTACCTGAAAGATGCTGCGATGGACTTGATTCAGGCTTGGCTCGACGAGCTTAGTAGAAAACAACGCACCGAACTCGCCACTTTACAAGTCGATGTCCTGCTTCTCTTGTCCAGAAGTCTCCGAGGGATACAGCCTGAGCAGCTTTGGAGTGCTACGGGGGCACTGGTACGTTCGGCTATGGTCATGGGTCTCAATGTTGACCCTGCGATTGTTTCGGGCATCACTATGTACATGCCCGAGATGCGCCGGAGACTGTGGGCCACAATAATCGAGGTGGACCTGCAGGCTTCTATGTTCTGTGGTATGCCGCTGGCCATTCCTGAGCTTAACTCACGCTCCGTTGTACCATCCAACCTTGACGACAGGGAGTTTGATGAGTCCTCAACAGTACTTTCTGCCTCTCATCCAAAGCATGTATACATGGACAGCCTTTATCAGGTCGTCCTTGCTACTTCCTTACCGCAGCGTATGAAAGCATTATCTGTCATTCAGCACTCTACGCCCGACATCAAAGATGGGATCAGATTTGGGTGGAAGGTTGAAGAATGTCTGTTGCAGAAACCGCAAACGATGAGTCTTCATGACAACGACGAAGCCCCTCGCGACAGTGGGGCATTGATCCACAGAGTATTTTTGGACCTTTACATGCGACGACCATTGATTCGGTTGTACATGGCTCTGATTCATGGACCGCAGGCTCAGAACACAGCAAACAGATCTTTGATTGCTGAGCTAGGGCAGCATTGTCTTGAGTCCTCACGCGTCATTCTTTCAACCAGGATCTTTACACAATTCAGGCCCCCGGTATCTTAAGGGCAAGTCCGTGGGTCCAACAGAACTTCTTCTACAACACTTGCAAAATGGATATCCTATGGGCGGCGCTTACACTATGCCAAGAGATTAGTCAATGCTACGAGCTGAACATGCCGAAGGCCTTGACCCCCAACCTTGTTCATGCCGTAGAGACCACGATCGCTTACCTGATCAATCGCATTGAGCAAAAGGGTAGTGATCTCAAGGACATCGTCTTCCTTGCACTCGTCCTCCAGTCTGTCCAAACCCCGATCACGGTCCCGGACAGATCCCAGATTCTACAACAGACGGCCAGGAAGACCCTAGCAACGTGTCGGGAGAAGCTGCTTCATCCTTCACTTCCAAGCGAGCTCCCACAGCCGCTCGTTATTCAAACTACCACACGTGCAAATATGGATGCAACCCCTATGTCGACATCAATACTTTCGACCGCCACCCCTCCCTCCAACCCGCAAACGACACCATTATCGACGTGCGAGTCAATGTTTCCGCTAAATCTGCCGGCAGGCACAGAACAATACTTTGGCGATCTTTCTGAGCTGGCTGTGGAATATAACACCTTTCAAGCTGGCCCCTTCGATCCTGATGGCGCTCTCAGATTTCCCCAGGGTCATAAATACCATTGGTAAACCTTGTAGCAATGATACGAACGTAGAATTCTCCATATCCTCACTATGGGTACCAGCAGAGGTCGCGGGTGGAGCTCATCACTCAAGCTGATGCAATCGCGAACACATATTCACGTGAGCACGATCCTGTTAAGATATATATGAAAGGCTACTAACACATCATGACTGGAAGTCCACGAACCATCTCAGCACTATGTTGTTCAACATCAGCCTACTATATAAGCTAGTCCATATACTTTCCGCGCACATATAGTTCCCGCGCACCCCACCACGTCACTAGCACTCAGATTGGAGTCGTGATTTCTCAACAACAACGTTTATAATTGCCACTCTGTACACATAGACTGAAGCGTGAGTGCTGCTGCTGCTGCTGCT